TGCGCATGCGTTGGCCTCCTGGCTTGTTTGCTGTTTTTGCAGCTGCGTTTTTGGTGGCACCTGCTATGTTCAAGGTGATCCTCTGGGCATTTGGGTCATGATCGGTGGCTTTGTTGTTGAACGCCATGGCGCTTTGACGCGTGTTTCTTTTGACGATTACAGCATGGTTGCTTCTTCCGCTATGAAACCAAGACTGCAGTGATTGGCAAAAGCTTGAATGAAGCGCCGCAAAGAGCTCATCGACACCTTTGGGCCGAAAAAGATGCAGCGGGTTGATGCTTGCTTGATTACGGTTCGCTTGCTTTCGTACCTCCGTTTGCCTTTCGCTCCCTGCATGAATGCTGTCCGGTGCTGTGCTTTGAGCAAAGCTGATTATGGCTTGGTCGCTAGGTGGGCCACTATGCAGTTAACCAAGCGCATTTGGGCTGCCATTCATGTTGGCTCTCGTCGTGCGGTTTCTGCCACTCCGTGGTTGCCTGCGGCCCTTCTTGATGGCAACATGCACCTTGATATCTTGTTTGCTACTAAGTTGGTCGGCACTCTTGCTGGAGCTCGTTGAAGCGTGGCCTTTGGTGGGTCGCTGCGACGGGTTCTCCGCCGTATGCACTTGACACCTGGTTGCGTCGACGCGGTTGGAAGTTGCAGCGGCTTTGGGTTGGGCATCATGGCATCATCGCCTGAGTGGTGGTGTCCTCGACCTTGAGCCTGATGGTGTTGATGCTGGCAGGTTGCGGCATGTTGTTCGTCAAGCTTGGCGTGCTTGGGCGCTTGGACAGCACTGTGCCTCCGGGAGGCTGTAGTTGCCTTCACAGGGCTGGGATACCCGTAAGTGGGCGTACAGCAATCCTTGTGCGCTGTTGCTGAATGCCGCTGGGAGCCCTCCTGCTTGATGGTCGCATTGCTGCTCGCCCTACCGCTGCATCCGGCATCCTTGTCGTCAGCTTGGTACTTGGGAGAATGTTGTGTGGCAGTGTCCGCGCAGGCCTGTTAGTGCCTTCCGTCGCCGTCCTCGCCTGGCTCTTTGTGCCAGGTGGGGTTGGGTTGTGAAAGGCCAGAATGTTGACTTCGATGCTCTTCATCTTTGGCTGTTCGTCGTTCGAGAGAAGCTGGGCAACTTTCCATCCAGTTTCCATCCCTAGCTTGGGCTGTTGCCGTGCTTCTGGGCTTTGCGGCTTGCCATCCTTTTCCTTTCGGGCCAAGGTAGTGCGAGAGTCTGGCAGTCTTCTGCCGGTGTGAGTTTACGTAAGTCTTCTAGTTGGCCTCCGCTTGTGCTTTGCCTATTCTGGGGTATGTGCGCCACAGAAGTTGTGCCTGCGAGGTAATGACTGGCGTTTTCTGCAACAGCGCTATAAAAGCCGCAGAGAACGACCACGATCTGGCCGTGCAGTCCCTGGTGCAAATGCGCAAGGAACTCAAGGAGCAGGTTACGCAGCTTTTCTCCTCGATCGATGAGCGTGGAATGGGCCAACTGACGATCTCTGAGTTCGAGCGACACTTTGACAATGATGCTGTCAAGGAGCTTGGCTTGCAGGTAGAAATTCCAAATAGGATGTATACTGTTGACAGAGTTTGGCCAGGTGCAGGGAGTCAAGTCCTTGTCGTGTATTCGCAGGTTTTAGATCACACTCAGACATGTTCTTGGCTCGCTGGAGACTTAAAGTCGTGCCAAGGCGTTCTTCGAGATTCTGAAAATTGGCGCGGTAGATGCTTGGACGTTGTTCTCCAGCTTGGACAAGGATGTGCAGCACGGTTCTGCTGGTACTGCCTGATTCGTGTCGATGTGTACTTCGATGTGCATGTTTTGTGTCTGCATGGAGGATGGCGATCACACTTTGAGCGTGGATGAGTTTGTTGAGCGTTGCGCCTTTGAAGCACCGAAGAGTTCTATGGAACAGGAAATCAAGATGTCAAACATCTTGGATGTTCATGTTGCTTCTGCCGTGCATTTTTCGATGCCTGCTTACAGAGAAACTCGCATGATGGATCTGAGGTATGCAGCTTCATGGCCCCGCAAGGTCTGCTGATCTGTTTGCGATGAGGCCATGATTGCACACATAAAACGCATAGGTTAGCAACAGATCACTCACAAAAGAAGCGAAAGGATATACATACATATACATATATATATATATACATAAATGTATTCTTGTTTATTTGTTTATTCATATATGTATTTGGTTCTTTATTTACTTAGTTATTTATTGTTTTATTTATGTATTTGTTTATCTACACATGGTATACATACATATATATATATATGCTATATATGGTTTCTTGATATACTTATAAAGGCTAGAAGCTCGATTTTCCCTTGTTCGCTCAGGCAGCAGAGCGTGGCTTGTTTGAGAATAATGCCCGTGCTTGACGTGTGGGACTGGAAGCTAGTAGCAGCTGATCGTCGGGGGCCTGATTCGCTTCATGACCAGCGCAAATGCCCTGTTGCTCTTTCTGCAGGGGTGAAGGTGGGTTGGCTACAAGATGTCACGAACAGACATACAGAAGAGATAGTGGGGATACAACACCAGTAGTTTATCATAGAGCTGAAGCTTGCAAGTATGCCCGTCCGAACTTTCTGCTTTCAAAAGGGAACTGACTCCAATCGATCTGCCCTCGTACAAGTCTCCCCCAGCCTACCTGCAAGAAAGCCGGAAACTTCAGAGCGTAGCAATGCGTGTTACCGGAGTCAGGGGGGCAATTAACTTCCTTCTCCAATCTAAAGTGTGGTGCTGGGGCTGCCCGATATACGATTTTCGTCACAAACAGGCATAACAAAACAGGGCACATGTCATAGGGGGATGTTTTGAGTGCTGTTTGGTGACCTCGCCACGGGGGCTGCACAGGAAGCAGTTTTGACGGAACACATGACGGGCAAGAGTATGCCAATTTTGCCACCGCCGAGGCGAAGTATGGAAAACAACTTCGCAAGATGGAGGAGGCTCAGAAGCGTCAGAGCCAACAACTGGCCCAGCAACTTGGCCAGATGTGGCTTTTTCTGATTCAGACAGAATCCCTGAAGCGGCTCCAAACCCGGTACATACACCATCCGAAGCCCTTACCCCCTCCCCGCCCCAAAAGAAAGAAGTGTTGGCAAGTCAGTTGGGTTTAGATTGGGCAGGCTCCGCAAACCGACCTCATGGACGCAGGTCTTGACACAAAGAACCACAAATTAGGCCAGCAAACGTGGCCAATGCTTCTGAGCGCCCTCCTTTGCCTGTCTTGCGCATTTCTTGCGCACTTAAGGATCGCCAATGCGATGATGCCTCGGCAGGCTACGTGTCCGACATGGCTGTGAGGGGTTGGCGAGAGATGGCGAGAGATGGCCGAGATGGCTGCCTTTCTTCCGATTTTCACATGCAAAATCAGTAGTGTTCGCAGTACCGGGCCTCGGCGAGGAGCCTGAGATTGAAAATCGCTCAACGCAAGCCCGGGTTGAAGATTCTTTGTTTGGGTTAGAGATCTGCCCGCGGCTTGCAAAGCGGCCGGTTTCACGGTGACCTGGTGTCACATCTATGTTATTCTATGTTTGAAGGGCACGCCTGGAGCAATTCATTCGCAAAATCCTGCAAAGGTCCTAACTCGGTACAGATCCTCCAAAGTCTCCAAAAGGAGTCATGTTGGTTCGAGACCGGGAAATCCGCATTCAGCAGGACTCCTACTGCGAACCGCTTTGCAGAACAAAGGGTAGTTTTCGCAGATTTTCGCATAGGATTCCCGGAATGCGAGGAACTACTGGAGCTTAGCAGGAGCCCTGGCGGCTGTGAGTTGCGACTCAGTGTGCGAAGTTCAAACCCGCAGCTTCAAGGAATGGATTTTCGCGAATGCTATGCTCAACAAGCTCCAGCCCAATCAGCTAGACCCGGCGAGGTATTCATACGCATTGTATGTGTCGTGCAGGATTCTTTGCATTGTATGGCTACGTGCCTATCAATGGCGTGTGCCTCAAGAAGTCTTCAAGGTGGGCCAAGGCCGGCCAAGTCTACGGAGCAAAGTGTGAAGAGGCACACGCCGAACCCCCGCGGCCTGGGGACTGCAAAGCACCCTGAGCTGGACTGAGAATCTCTGGGAATCTCTGGGAAGCTCGGAGGCTCAAGCCGTATGCTGCTTCTGCCCCGATTGCCCAACATGGGCACGAAGTATCGAGTCATGCGACGCAGAGCTTTGAAAACGTCCGGCAAGCTGTGAATGGAGAACTGGCAAAGTTGCGCATGAGAGGGTGCACTCCGAAGACGTTTAACTATTTAAACTCCGCTTGCATTGTTGCATGTGACACAGCCGACGGCTGCCTGACCGCCTGCCGTGATGGCTTTGAGCCCAACCCAGCATGTTGGTTTGCATGTTTGACATTCCGTAAAGTTTTAAAGGAGCTGTACTCACTTTGGACTGCACTCTGGTAACATTCTTCGACTCGGCAGTCGGCAAGGCATGACCGGCATCTCCGAAGATAGTCTCATCAGACCTCTACATGTCATAGGTTCACCAATGGATGGCTCCTCTGCATCGGGGGCTCCAGTGCCTTTCGGACATTGGGTCATGGAGGGCGAGGTTGACATGCCGAAGGTGGTCGATGAAGTCCTGCACAAGCACAGCATGCAGGCAGAAAGGGCAGGGCTGAAAGCGCGAGGAGAGCTTTGAGGAGATGACGGGTCCACGAGTCACCTGTAGGAACCTGCTACGAAGCAATCAGCAGAACAGACTGTGGAAGCAAGGGGTTGTTTCAGGTACAGTAGTCGCAGTAGCCTTGCTCCAGCAGGTAGGATGCACGCGACAGCTCGACAGAGTTCTCCAACGTTGAAAAGCATATTGTGCAGGTCTGCGAGCACATGGACCGTGTCCTGGATACGTGGTTGGAGAAGTTTGAATCAATGCTTCAGAGGCCAGGGCCTTAAGCAGAGCGGCGTAGCTGCACTTGCTTTGGTGGTTTTTGGTGGCTTTTGGTGGTTATTGCCCCGAAGTGCTGGGAAGGTCTCATTTCGAGAGCGGGGCTTCCTTGGACCCAGACAGCCTCCTTGGACCAGAAAGGCTGATCAGCGGCTCGTTTCTCTGCCACAAGGAAGCCACAATGTGTAAGGCATGGCGAGGCATGGCGAGGCATGTCTGTGTGGTGCTGGCTTGTGACTAGCTGCTCCATGTTCAGTGAAGCTTCAGTGTGCCGCTTGCAGCGTAGCTTAGCTTTGTATCCCACTCCCGGTTCCTCAGATTTCTGCAGCTTTCTCAGGTTTGCCCGCGGTGAGAGCAACCAAGCGGAGTCCGTGGAGTCGGTGAACCAGACAAATAGCTCACAAGTGGGTATACGACCCAGCTACATTCGTGAGGCGTGCCAAGGGCTGACTGTGTTTCGAAAACGGTGCTAGGGCCGCTTCACCGCTTGGGCTAAAGGGGCTTTTGCTCTGCAAATCCAGGACAGCCCAAGCAGCTATGAGCTGGCCAAGAGGACGGGCGATGCCGTGACACAGGCGTTTTCCAAAGTTGGGAGTGTGCCGTGGCTGCAACGACAGTAGAAACATGATTGGGACTCACATGGACGGACAAACCACCAACCTGTAAGGCCAGCAAGGAAAAGTTCAGTCGCAAGCGTGTTGGCCTTACTGCTGGATCCAGGGCCTAGGGGGTTGGCCCATTCTACCCCAGAGTTTTCCAAGCGCTGTGTTTGACTGAAAGCTGCAGGCCGCAGGCCAGTGACGCCCAGTAAATCCCAGTAACTCGTGCGCTCTGAGGAATTGGACCCGCTGTACGAATGGGGAGGACCTGCCAAGAATGGGCGGCCAGGATCGTAAACTCACAGGTTGCCGGCATCTTCTTCGCGATGGTGGTCCTATCAAACTCAGTATATCTTGGGATCCATCTCTCCTGGAGCTCGCAGCACCCCGAAGAGACCTCAAACTCGGTGTTCCTAACAATGCACGTGGCGTATTCTGCGCCTTGTCAGCGATTGGCGGACAGAATTCCCTTAGGCTTTTGACCTGAGTTGGGTTCCTTGCGCGGTTCCCAGGAGCCAACAGGAGCCTTCAGGGCGCAACGAAATGCAATGAACTTGTCTCTGTGATGTTGCCGAATGCGCCAGCTGCATGTTCTCACTCAACCTGATCATGAACCCAGAACCTTACCTGGCATGTCCCAGTTGCGACAGTAAGTAAACGCAATGCATGGAGGTGCTGTTTACGCTGGAAGCGGTGCTCCATCTTATCGCCGTCGGGCCTGCAGCATACATCTGCGAAGCTTTGCAGAATGGATGGGAAAGGGGGACTGACTCGTCTTTGCATTTTCTTAGATCCGCCTTACGCAGGTTCCTGAAACTTATTGAAACTTGTCGAGGCCACATGATTGAAGTGAGAATGTTGTCGTACAGCTCAGGGCAATAGTTGGTCCTGGAATTGGCTGGACATCTTCGTGGTCACCTCCTCATGGATCGAGCTAGCAGTTGACATCGTGTCCCCGGATCACGAGACCATGGGAGCCAATAGCAACCTCCGAATCATGAGGTGCTCTGCCGCAAGATGACGGGCGTATTTAGAAGCAAGCAGGGTAAGAAAGTGTGTGCGTGTGTACGCCGGTGTGCATTCGGCTTTTCCGCTTCCTTGGGCAGCTTCAGAGTGTGCTAGGCCGGCTCCCTGCCAAGCATTTTTGACCAAGGTTCGTTTCAGAAATGGGCAGGCTTTGACCAATGTCGTCCTTTGAAGTTCAAGCTGATGTTGCGGAGCTCAGGTTGCTTCGACTGGGTCGTTTGGTTCGTGTGGTGCGCGTCGTTCGCGTCGTGAAGCTCTTCAGGGCTCTGCGGACGCCACCTGATGCATCCAAAGCGGTAGTTCACGGGGGGGTTTCAGGCTGCTACCAGTACATATCAGTACATGCTGCTATGGCTTCCATGTGTCTACATCTTTTGGCGACCGCTGGCCTGCATGTCCAACTGAGTCATTCAGGGGCTCCCTGGGTGCTGTCCCAAAATGTAGTGTGGTCTCCTTGGCTGGCTTCGGGGCATTCTGAGCCCCGGCAACTGCTTGCCTTCTCTGACCAAGTGCACAACTCCTGGCTTTCTTGCAAAGGCTTGTGTACTCGCTCCTGGGGACGCTCAAGTCGCTGTTTTGGTCCTTCTTGCTCTTAATCCTGCTTCTTGGCTCCACTGCTCGGCAAGCACCTTGAGAGTATCAGTATATATATATACATATGCAGTATGCAGCTGAAGGATTATTTACATTTTCGGCATACTCTTCACTGACGTCGTCCTGAACCACTTGTGGGAGGAGGCCGGGCGTCACATGCAAGATGACAATTGTGGCCAGCCCCTGTTGCTTGTTGTCACGTTGCAGGCCGGTAAGTTTCTTATTATAATTTGGTTTTGTCCTGCACAGCTTGTCAGGCTAGAGTTGAGTTGCGCTCTGAATCCCTGCTAGGGCAGAACTGCCGCCACAGAAGATGTGCAGCAGTACTTCGGAACGCTCTACGCATCCATTATCACGCTATTCAGGCGGAAATTGGGATCAGGCTGTTTCTGAGAAGAGGTCAGACCTATGACGCTATAAGATGCTACGTTTTGGATGTGTGAGGGCTCAACGATCGTTTGCTCGGCGAGCCATGGCAGCCGTGAGTCTGTGAGTTGAGGGTTTAGGGTTTGTATGGATTTGTCGCAGACTACGACTACGATGCAACTGGATCAGGTCTATCTCCAACGGCTTCACCTGGGATAAAGCTGCCGACTCACTTGAACCCATCGGCTGGTTCTGGGTACAAACCTTCCACTTCTATGTGGCATTCTGCAGTTTTGCACTTCTCAATGCAGCTCTGGCATGCTTGATTTGCGGAGCTCTGACTGTGATGTGCGGCAAGATGTTCTTTCTGCATTTTCTGGGTAAACACAGGTTGGCATCGTCACGAATCATCACCCCCCTTCAAATGGGCGGGGTTGCTTAAAGGGAGTCCGTTTTTGCATTCCCCTTCCATTCATGCCATGAGACCCCGTTTGTGCACGCATGTTTTGCTTGTTGCATGCATGTAACCCCATGCTGTTCCATTGCCTGTTCCGTTGCTTCCACCTTTGTACAACTAAACCATGTACACAAAGGAAATGTAATGCAGGGCACATGAGCAGGCTTTTCTACAGGTCATGAGCTGGCTCTTGCACACTTCTGGGGTCCCAAACTCATGTGGAATGTTGCCTCCAGAATGCGCGTGGAGATTTTGGCTTTTCGCCCGACGCGCTGCTTGACTGGCTTTTGCATTTCTGGACAGAAGCTGTGCACAGAAGCAGGCCGTCAACTGACTCTTTGCCGCGCATGACTCGCAACCGTGCAACCCTGAGGAGCCCTCGCCATTCTGGGAGCGCTCCCTTTGGATCTTCTGCTCGAATGAACAGTATCATCGCCTCACTTCACCGCAGGGAACAAAGTTGGCAACGTCATGCTCATCTCAATGCCTAGAGGCACCGTGCAAAAGAGGCTAGAATGACCTCTAACAAAACCGCTTGGTCGGTATTTGCATAGTGTAGAAAGTGCCGCACGCTGGAACAGATGTGCCTTGAGTCTGTCTTATAACAAAGGTTGCTAGCTCAATTATTTTCTTGGGCCATGCTTTCTTGATTTCTTGCTGTTTTTTCGATCAGACCGCAAGACGCTGGCAAGCTGCCGCCTTATCAGCTTGCACCTCACATAGCCGCCCCCTTCGTGCACTGAGCCTGCGACAGCGCAGTGCCTGCGCAGTCTAGAACCTTTCTTCACCGCGTTGACCTTCATCTCCCAAACGTTTTCTTGGACAAATCGGAAGTGACTCCCGCTTTGTTAGGGGCATCGGTGGGATGTTGGGTTCAGGGCCTCCTTTTGTTGTTTTACGCCGGTTTTGTCTGCAAAAACAGGGGTAATGCTTTAAATGGAGGCATTTTGTGAGATTGGACTTGGCGGACTTGGGAGCATTTTGTGTGGCAGTGTCTGCACGTACCAGTTAACTGCGCTCCAGCATGCTTTGCGTGAGTCATGGAGACGGACGCAGTTTCAACGTTGGATATCATCCAGCAGTGGATGCTTCTGAATGCGCAAGTGCCGTGTATGATGAATGTAGGATAAAAGCTGTTCGTTCTGTTCCTGATCTGGACAAAGCCCATGTAAGGGCAATCTTTCCCTGGGCTGCCGTCAGTCCGATGCGTTATCTCACTATGACTAGCACTGAGCACTTGTGCCCTTGGTGTCATTCGCCTGACGCGGTCCCAAGACTGGACATGTGCTATGGCTCCTAGGCCTCAAGATCTTAGCCGCCCAAGCGGTGCACTTCAGGCACGCTTGGCGTGGCCCACAGGAAATCCTCGGAAGAAGGCTCATGATGCAAGGATTGTTGCTTGGATGTCTCTGGTCCGTGAAACTGTCCTCAGCCAGAGATTTGATCGACCGCCGGAAGGTCAACCACAGGGGTGAAACTGCTACAATTAGAGGTTTTAGGAAATTTAATAGTTGGTTTGAAATTTTACATAGAGGGTGTTTTGACGTCGTCTGCCGACGCGTCATACTATGGATTTTTTCTTTGAGGATCTTTTTGCAGTGTCAGCCGACACATTCAAGTGACAGTGACAAAGTGCCTGCCTGGTGTCGCTGCCTCATTGCCAAGTATGAGGTTGTTTGCTTGCTGCCAGCTTGCAAAGCGTGTTGCCCGGGGGCGATCCCTGTGTGGCATTCGTCATAGTCTAACATTCTTCGCCGCCAGGTCATGACTGGCGTGTTTTGCAACAGTGCTATCAAAGCGGCTGAACGTGACCATGACATGGTGCTACAATCGGTCATGCAAACACGGCGCGACTACCAAGATGCTGCTTGGACTTCGTTTGCATTTTGCGCTCTATGTGGCCACGCTGACACATGTTGGCACACGTCTCCGATCAAGGTTGTGAGCAACCTTTTCAAGAAGATTGATGAACGTGGCCTTGGGCATCTCACCATTACTGCCACTTGTCAGCAATGACTGGCATCACAGCATCAAAAGGAAAGAAACATATAAACATATCATAAATAAACATACATGCATACATATCTATATATAAGAATATAGCAACGGGTCATGCGTTGTCAGCTGTGACAGGTAAAGGCTTTCCACTTGTTGCTGCTTCCAGTTTGACAATAGTCGTAGCCTTTGCTTTCTGGCCATCTTCCACAACTTCTGCGTTCCAACCGCCGCACCTGAGCCTTTGTCCAGTGCGGCGACTGTTCAGCTACTGCACTCGGCCACAAGTTCATGTACCGATTTCTTCAGCCATGTGTTGGCATCGTTTCTGGGTACTTTTGTCCAAGGAGTTCGAGCGACATTTCGATGACGAGGCCGTGCAGGCCCTGCTCCTCGGCTGTGTTGATCTGACATGATCTGAGATGCTTTTTCCCGAGTCGCGTCTCTTTCTTCTGGAACTTCTGAGTTGCCTTGTCATAGCTTGACCTTCACCCCCGGAATCACCCTGAACCTGAGCGGCCCGATGCCCCCAAACATCCGCGCAGGTGAAAACTGCAACATAATATTGTAGATGTTTAGATAATCGCTTGGGGGGATGTGGGTGGGGGAAGTTTTCGGGAGAAGTTCGTGTAAATCAGCAGTGCCGGTGTGGAGAACAGGGATTGTTCATCCGTGGACCACGTAACCCTAAGCCCTAAAAAGCCCCAACAACCCTCAAAAACAACAAAATGCTTTAAACCCCCAAGCCCTGAAAAAGCCTCCAAAAACATCAGATCTTCGATCCGCTTCACAGGACCTTTTTCACGTTGCTGTAAGGAATGGGACGGGTGGGGCATGCCGTGGTGGTAGGTTCTAGGGTTTGGGGGGTTTAGAGGGATTTAGGGTTTAGGGGGATTTAGGGTTTAAGGTTTAGGGTTTAGGGTCGATAACTGTCGAGCTGCAAAAAGGGGTTAGGGTTTAGGGAGATGTGTTCCAGTTGCCACTTAGCGCAAGTCTTGCTACTTTCAGGTTTCGCCGGCAGCTTCCTCAGTCCGTGCTTAAAAAAGGGTTCAGGGTTGTTGCACCCCGCGGCTTCATTCGAGAACAGGGCCTCAGTGCATGCGTCCAAGGTTTGAGTATCTCCAAATCGGTGCCATGGATGCTTGGACTCTGTTCGTCAGCCTCGACAAGGATCGCCGCACCTGCGCCAGGTGTGTCCACACATGCCATTTAGATTTATTCCTAGAGTTTCCTAGTTAAAGCAAGGTTGCGTTGACCGCAAGTCACTTAAGTTCAGGAAGTGAGCTCTCTGCTGTTTGAGAAATTGTTCGAAAGCTTAGGGGTGTGGCTCGCTTGGGATGTAGCCTTATCCGTCTGAGCTCAGTGGAGGACGGTGACCACACGATCAATGTGGAAGAGTTCACAGAGCGCTGTGCCACGGTCTGATTATCTGATTGGTTGCCATGTTGGGATCTGCCCGCCTTCCTTCCCAATCCAATAGGTGATTCGTCAACGGTTTGGATCCTTCTTGCTGTTTTCGTCGGCTTGTGCTTTTGGCGTTGGCTCCAAGGGGGTGTTGCAGTGAAGCAATGCGTGACTGACTAGATGCCAGAGGGCTCCTTTCTGCCTTGCAGGTATACAGCTGCATGGCCCTGCAAGATCCGCAGACCTCTTCGCCGTGCGTCAGAGTTGTGCCGCTGGGTTGCAAGGTGTGTGGAAGGTTCGTCTGTCGTTCAACGAGGGGTCTACAGCCGTGACAGCTTCGATGATGATAGCTTGGTCGAAAGTTATGGAGACAGAGCACTTCGTTGTTTCTCATCTGCGTCACCTATGCCTACATTCCAAGGTCAAGCTTTCGAAAGACTTGCGGAGGATGGATGAGACGCAGGCGTGGGAGAGATGTCCTTGTTAGTTACTTCCGGGGTGCTGCAAGTGCTGTGCCCTCCGATGCAAGCAGCAAGGAGCGAATAGAACTCGCCCTGGCGATGATCCTTCACCAGCAAGCTTTGAGCTCCGGATTCAGCTACTGTGCGTCATTTCATGCTGTTCGTTTCGATGCCAGCTCGAAGTGTGACGTATTCTCTAGCCGATGCTCTCAGTGCCCTTTGGCTTCGCCAAGGTGTGTGAACAACCACCGTCTTCTGAACAAATGCCGTTGTCCGCTTCCTTTGCCAAAGTTGCAGAACCTTGCATCACCATATGAGGGGGCCATTGTGTGGAGAACAGCTGCAGGTTTCGTCAATGGCTGGTTTGACGATAGTATGGTAAAATTATCATGTTGGAGGTTGGTTTGCAATCGCGCTCCCGAGTCTGTACATGACATGGGGGATAGTGCACGATACGGGACCCCCAGTATCCTTTTACCAGACGCATGAGGACGCCTGGAAAATCTGTGTCCCAGCGTAGGAACAAGTCTTGGGCCCAACAGGTCCAACCATTCTTGGTGGTAGATCCAGTTGCTGTGCCCCGCAGTCGGAAGTATCGCCCGATACTTGCGGGTGAAAGTTTCAGCTGTTTCCCAGCTTCACCGGACAACTCCGAAACCTCAAGGTAGGTCTTGAATGAGAAGCTGCGCAGCCCGTGAAGGCGGTGAGGCATGCACTCGGGACACAGGCTTAACCTTGCCGATATCGGCATCTCCAGGAATCGGGGCGTGATCCCAGCCGGAAGGATGTCGCCGACGCGCGAGTGATGCATCGGGGGACCCAGGCACAGGTTGTCCCCAACACAGGTTGTTCAAAGTGTCGCTTGACAGGCAGTGAAGGATGGAATCAGTCCCAATCCTGGTGGGCCGTGTTGTGTTACTGGTAGACTGCACCAGCGGTCTTGGCACAATATGTGCGTGCGATGAACATCGACGGAAGCCTCGCGCCCCTTTCAAGACTTGCAAGCCTAGGACTTAGGGTGTGGTGTTCACCTCTGGGAATCATGAAAGGCTCGGGAGGCACTGTGTTTCCAACATTTCCCAACGAAGCTCTCTGCAAACGCAGTGATGCGCCGAAGAGCCACGACACCGTCGTCAAAACTGCGTGCCTTTTCAGTTGTTTGCAGCTTGCAATCAGGGCCTAGGCAAAATTGCAGAAGTGTAGGGTTTGGGGCACAGGGGTTGAGATGGCACAGGCGAGCTTGAAGTAGTGTAAACGCCCACTCGGTCTGACCCCTGCCGCATGTCTTGTCCAATGGAATTGGGTGTTTTGCCCCAGCCATCACATCCTGGACTACGAATGAAACACCTGTGTTGAGGCGACCTGAACCGAAGCAGCGCAGGCGAGTGAGACCGCTTGGCCTTTTGGAGCTTCCCAGGTCTTCATAGATGAACAGATGAGCCAAAATCTTTGGGTACACGGTGGCAAGCTGGTGCACGGCACAGCATGGACTTGGCAAGTAAAGGGTTGTTGGTTGAGGCGCGTGGTGGCGTGCATAGTGCGTGGTCCAATGTGCAATAGACCAGAAAGACAAACCGGCACAGCTTTATCACTTGCAACCTCCGTGCCAAACATAAAAGAGCTACGTGACATGTGGCAGGGTGTATGGCTTTGCAGTACGAGCTCGAATTCACGGTTCTCGCGCCTCACGCATATCATCGCAGAAGTCACGAAGCCAGGTATTCCATACAGAGAATACGTAAGGTTAAGCCCTGGGGAGTCGCCAGCCGTAGAATGTATAGAAGTTTAGATGGGCAATGCCCAGGCCATTGGGGCCCAGGTACTCTCGAATGGCTGGTACGAGTTGAAGCCTTACGCGGAGAGGCTGTAAGGATGGAGAGGCATTGAAGGATCTCCGATCTACTTAAGTTCTAAGTGCCAGCTTTCTTTTCCCCTGATCCCCAAGAAATCTCCCTTCAAGTCGAAGACTTGAAGTCCCGACCATGACTTCGAGCCGGGAAGATCGGAGGAATTGCTGCTCGGTGCTCAGTGTTGGCAGATTGCGTCGCTCTGGTGGTCTCGTGCTCGCGCATCTGTTTTGGCCATGACCCGTGCTTCTTTCGAACTCAAGCAGGGACAGGCACTGAGTTGTGAAAGCCATGATCCAAGAGAGCTTGACATGCTGTACAGGCCCAAAATCTTCGGCTGATATTATGCTGCGGGCAGTGCACAGCCACCGGTCGTGAACCATGTTCAAGGTCGACGCTTCAGCAGATGTCGATTTCCATCAGTTCCCTCAAGAGTAGTTTTGCGCGTTTTAAAAACCCCAAGCAGATGTCAATTTTCCGTCAACATCCCTCAAGAGTATGGTATGCAGCGAATGACCAGCCATTCGTCAAGCCATGGCCGTGATGCCGTGGAAAAGCCGCCAGCTGGTCAGGGACTCAGCAGCAGACTTCAGCGAAGACTCAGCGAATGGCCCATAGAATTGTGGTATCATTGTCAGAGGGTTCACGGCCTTTAACGGGCCCAATAAGTTGCTGTGAAGGCCATGGCTGGAAAGCTCACAAGTTTATTGGGGCAGTGTCGAGTGTACTCCCGTTTCCTTGTCAATTGTGCGCCGTCACAGATGGTCCAGCCCTAGTATCACGAACGATGCGCCTGCCTTGTCATCCAATCAGTAACGCCCGCCCCTAAGAACACGAAACCCTCAACTGCCCTGAAGCCTAAGTCTCGAACAGCCGTAAACCCTTGGAGACCAGATGCGCTTACTGTTTTGCATCGCTGCAGTGTGGTGTGAGTCTGCTCGGCAGGAGGCAAGAAAATCCCAAACAACCCTAAGCCCGCTGAACAATAAGTAGCCCTGTGTAGCGGCCGCTAGACGGATGACCAAAAAGTCCGAAATCCTAAGTTGCCTTCATCATGACACCTTGCCGAGTTGGTCTACGAAGCTAGACAAGCGCGGCGAGAAGATGCTGTGTGCTTGCTGCGCCTTCGCATGGCCACGTGCAGTGCAGGTGATGGGTCGCCACGATTCACTCCACAGTGCCGTGTCAATATTAGGGCCGTGTTGGGGCACATATATGGGGTACCCCATGGTGTCGGGGACGCCTTGTGGCGCCATCCTAGGCTGGTGACTCGCCTCAGCGTCTGCGGCCTGCCACCGCCGCGCCTGACGTCAAGGTATCGGGGTAAGGTCGAGAAAGTATCAATTCGTGTTTTTCTGATTCCTTCTTCTGTGCCAACGGGGGAACAGGGCGGGGGTGAGACAGATGCATACAGGGGACTGTTGCCGGTGGGGCGTGCCCTGCGCTGCGACTCAGCGAGGAAGGTGGCAGAAGTGCTAGAACATGTCTACCGAGTCCCCACAGCGAGGCAGTGGAAAGTACTGGCCCTTCTTCAAGCTGCTGGTTATTTTGGCGCCTCTGGCTTGACATGAGGTTAAGCGGAAAGCATGCTCCGCACACATGGTGTAGCCATTATGTGCATGAGCACGCGACAGCTTGCCTTTCATATGCTTCAGTAGACGTAGCCCAGACAGCTCTGCAGACATTCAGGCAACTTTGACAGGACTATATTTGGTGTCGCAGTGCCGCAGATTCAAAGCAACTTGGACAGGGACAGAATGTAGGATTTCTGACATAGTTTTATATTTTGGCGTCCGGAGAAGACCAATATTTAATAGGTCGCGTAGGTGTGGTAACATGCCGCGCTGGTTTGCTGCCTCGGAGTTGGACCACCAAACTGCCCTGAAAGCTGAGGAGACTTTGCTTTATCCGATGCACAAATCAGCTACGCGGCATCCTTTCTGGGGCTCTCTGCCATCCTTGCTGCTGCAATCTCGTGCTTGTCGGACCGTGCACTGGCACCAGACGGATTGCTTTACATGTCTTCTGCAGTGTGTGTTGCGTGTGCAGTGAGTGGCGTAAGTGCAGTGTTCCGAACACCTGGCATGCGAGCTGCCATGGGAAGAGCGCGCAGGACCGCTATGGCAGAGCCCAGGTTCTGATGTGGACGTCGGAGGCTCAGTGGAAAAGCAGTGAAAAAGCAGTGCTCTTGGATCCTTGGATTCCCTTTGCCCCAGGCTGGCCCCGTACACCCTGGCCACGGCCTTGACAGCGCTGTCAAGGCGCTTGCAATTGCGGGCATGAAATCTTTTCATGTGCTTGCCCTACTTCCGTTCCCGCAGGTGCCATGCCCAACATTTGCAAAGCGTGTAGATGGCGGGGCTTGGCTTCGGCATAGTGGCAGGAGCATCGTGACGTTTGTTGCGCTGCAGCTGCTGGCGGCAGCTTTCATCACTGCGGAGACTTGGGAGAGCGAACACAGATGCGAGTAACTACTAGTAAAACCCTTGATCCGAAAGTCCTGCGGCATGGTCGCAGTTGGCACGATCAGAGTTGCAACTCGGATCTTGGATGTTTTTTGTTTGCCTCGAGGAGGGGATCATCTCACACGTCATCGTCCTCGAGGACTGGGGCCTTTTTCTTGCGCGCACGTCGCATTCCGCCAACTCTTCGCGGAGATGTTTCTTCCAGGAGATGCCATCAGATTGCCGGGGCTGGGCAGTCGGCTTGCTGAACACCGGGTCAGCCTGCGGTTCAGGCAGCTGAGCAAGACTCTGGTCCACTTGCTTTTAGTCGAAGTCGACGGCCATGTAAAGTCCGCAGAATCGTTTTCAGCACCGCACACGTCAGAGGCTACAGGCGCTACATGCAAAATCGCCAGGGTTTCGCACTCGAGTCCCCATGGCCCCGAAGATCCTCCTGGATCTTATAGCCCAGATGGACCCGATGCGAGACTGCTAGACACATGGTTTTGGAATCTTGCCAGCTAAGAATTCTCTTGGTGACCCATGGAAGCCTCGGTGCAGGCCTAGCACTGCTGCTTTTTGGGGTCTCGGACGGAGCCTGGCGGCTTATGTGCCCAGTGACGGGTGACGGGTGAGCATTCGTGGTCATGAGTTTGTATTTGCAGCTATAGGGTTTAGGGTTTTAGGGTTTTAGGGTTGCAGTCGAGTCCCTTGTGAAAAGGGTTTTAGGGTTTATAGGGTTTATAGGGTTTATAGGGTTTATAGGGTTTATAGGGTTTATAGGGTTTACAGGGTTTATAGGGTTTCTAGGGTTCATAGGGTTTATAGGGTTTATAGGGTTTATAGGGTTTATAGGGTTTAGGTCCAGCCTTTTCTTGAGCTTCGTAGTTGTCAGTACCGTCTCACATGGCATGCCAGTGGGGGAAGCAAGGGGGTGAACCTTGCGAAATCGCAGCCAGGTACGCGCTCTCAATTCTGCCGCTGATCGGTATCGGCTTCATGCGCCGACATCTTCCAGAGTCAAGGCCTCCGGCGCAAACCTTAATGTGTTGGTCGGTTTCCCCGGCCGGCAAGTCGGCTAAACGTTGTTGACCTGACAGAGTTCCATAATTACCCCGTCGGCACTTTACAAAGCTGGCACTCCTTACCCAGGATGCGTTGAATAACGGGAGTGCCGTCCTTCCGTCAGATTTGCAAAGTATTCTGCATTAATGCGATACTAGGCCTGCACGGAGTAGTTGCCTAAGCCGCAATACGAGTTTGCTGTTGAATCAGAAGGCCGTACGCCACGAGCCTTCCAGGCAAGCATATAGGGCTGTAATTGCGTGGAGTCCAGTCCCAGTTTTTCAGACGCAACGGCTTATGTGAAGCAGTCAAGCTCGGCCAATCTATGTCCGTCGCAAGTGCAGGTAACCGTATCATTGGTCCCTACCACCCCTGCGCCACTCCTCTGAGAGAGTGGGTCCGGAAATGCCCAGCAGGGTACACCTCAGAACGAGGTCTCTTAATCTGATCGGCATGCCCCCAAGACAAATATTGCTTCTTTGCTTTGCTCATCCAGGAGGTGGTCGGCAGCAAACAACCAGGAGATGGATAGCCGACGAACTCCAGTCCATTTAAGCCGAGCTAGTGGGTCAGCGGGTAGGTGGTTGAAGGCATGGCAGTTATAAATAAATTAAAAAAAAAAATATATATATATATATGGTACCCCCCCCCCCCCAGTGACCTACCCTTTTTCGCCTTGTCTCAAGTCACCCAGCTGCACTGCAAGCAAACTCGGTGTGCAATATAGCGTATTTCCTAGGGCGTAGACTAAAATACAACTAAAATCGCATACACGGGACAGTAGAAAAACCAAAAATACCAAAACCAAAAAAACCAAAAGACCAAAACCAAAAAAAACAAAAAAAACCAAAACCAAAAAAATCAAAAAAACCAAAACCAAAAAAACCAAAAATACCAAAGACCAATTTTCCGGGACTCTCAGGAAATCCCTATGAGGCTTCTCCAAGAGTCCCGGAAAATTGTTTTTTTTGGTATTTTTGTTTTTTTTGGTTTTGGTTTTTTTGGTCTTGTTTTTTTTGGTTTTTTGGTTTTGGTATTTTGGCTTTTTGGTTCGCCTTCACGGTCACGAGGCAACAACTACGCATTTTTAAGTGTGCTTATGCTAATTGTGCTTTTCAGAAATAGTATACAAGTGGTCTTTCTAGTGCTTCAGAACTATTTGTTTCGTTATTATGTAAGTAGAGCCGCTAGTGTTTAGTGCATCTTTTAATTGTACTCAAGTGTAGTAGACCTTATTCAGCCATTACTTGGTGCTCTGGTAGCTCAATTCGCATGGATAATATTTGCCTGGTAAATGCGATTAAAAATCTAGAAGCAGCATTTGCAATACTAGTCTTGAGAAAAAGCATTTATTGCTTAGAATTGTTTGCTTAAAAAGTGACGCCTACTTGTCCAGGAATACCCCAAAACCCTATAATCCAAACTTTTCCAGAGATTCTCCTGAAAAGCTTGCGCTTTTGGATGTTTTTATGTATTTGTGAATTTGCTTGTGTATGGCCTTCACTAAGTACTTTTCTAGGATTCTTGTGCATTTTTTAAGCCTGATTGTGCAAGTTGCGTTTTTCAAGCATAGTATATATGTGGTCTTTATTGAATACTTCAGACATCTTGGTTTCATCGTTATGCAAGTAGAACCGCTTCTATTTCCATTATTGTGCATTTTTAAGCTTGCTCATGCAAACTGTGCTTTTCAGACATAGTATATAAGTGGTCTTTAGTGAATACTTCAGCAATCTTTGTCTCATTGTTATGTAGGTAGAACCGTTTCCATTTCCGCAAGTGTTTATTTCGCATTTGGTTGAGTATGGTCCTTTAAATAGTATTCACTTGAGTCAAATTGGGCTATTTGCTTAAGAATTCCTCTAGTAGTTAAATTCGCATAGAATGAATACTTCAAAAAAATGTTTCATGAATATGTAAACATAAGGTGTTTCATTTGACTTTGCAGATAGTACTTCAATAATACTTTGCCTGGTACAAACACAACTGTTTCAATGTATTAGTTGCTCAACAAAGCACTATTTGCCCTTTAAACCACACTTTGCCATATTTTGGTTGAATATGGTGCTTCTTTCGTATTTTGGTTGAGTATGGTCCTTTAAATGGTATTCACTTGAGTCAAATTGGGCTATTTGCTCAATAATTACTCTAGTAGCTAAATTCGCATAAAATGATTATTTCAAAAATATAAACGATTCATGAATATGTAAACATAAGGTATTTCAGTGGACTTTTCAGAGAGCATACTTTGCCTAGTACAGACACAATTGTATAAATACAGTATTTGCACTTTAAACGCACACTTTGCCATTTTTTGGTTGAGAATGGTGTTTATTTCGTATCTTGGTTGAGTATGCTCCTTTAAATAGTATTCACTTGAGTCAAATTGGGCTCTTTGCTGAATAATTACTCTAGTAGCTAAATTCGCATAGAACCAAGAAAAATGTTTCACTATTTGATTCATACTTTGCCTCGTACAAACACAATTGTATAAATAAATTAGTTGCTCAGCAAAACATTAATTGCCCTTGAAAGGCACAATTTGCATAGAAAAACACTGATCTAAACATCTAAAAACAGCATTGTCCGCTTCAGATTCAAAATGTAGATTCTTCCAATGCTGGCTTATCGGGGTCTGTGAGGTGGGTGTCCCAGTAACTGTCCTTCATTACCCGGTGATTAACTACGCGACTTTTGGGCCTTCTTTGTCATTTTTGTTAAAAAGGCCTAAAAAGGCCTAAAAAGGGTAGGTCGCTGGGGGGGGGGGGTAGCTATTATATATATACACACACTACAAGACTAGTATGATTATTATCATGCATATTATTAATATGTATTTGTTAATGATGATTATTAATATTATTATTGCTATTAAACGCTTTTTCGCATGCCGATGCGAGGAGAGTCCACAGGATGCAGCCAGTGAGGAGTTGGAGCTGCAAAGCTCAAGCCTCAGAGATCCCTACCGCACACTGAGACGTCATTCTGGTGCCGTTTCCATGGCCGTCCCGTTTGGTTGAGATGGAAGAAGCATGGGAATGAAGCATTCGTCGGTAGAAAAGGCAAAGCTGCATGCCAACCCACGGCCTCCAAAGCAAGCTTTTGCCTCCCGAATTTGTCTATTCGAAGTTTACATAGCATTAACGCAAGGCTCGATTAGCACTGCTGGGCCTGTCGAGCATGTGGGGGTTGTGTTTTTTGATAACAGGACCCACCAACAGGGACCGTATTGTAGCCAACTCCTCCTGTGTGAGTCTGACAGTCGGAGGCTTGCGGCCTCCGGCAGCACGGTTCGGCTCTCCTTCTGAGGATTCTCATGCACTTGGGGGTTGACATAGGATTTTAGGGTTGGGGTCTCTCATTCACTTGGGGGTTGAGACATGCCCACTGAAGCCCTAGACAGAACCAGGAATATCTGCGGTGCTTGAAGGCTCCTGTGCCTTATGTGGCCCTCAGAGACTGGGGTGCTGGGCTTCTGGGCTTCGAAATCCGAACTTAAAGCCCGTCTTTAGCCCAAAAGAAGCTATTTGCCCTTTGGGGGTCTGCAAGACCGGGAGAGAGCGAGAGAGATTGACATTGTTTCCTGGCATGTATGACCCCAAGAACTTTATGACTTTATTCGTTGCCCTGCGAATTGACACACGATGAGCCTTTGGTTGATGTTGGTCGCCGTGGCAAGCAGGAACCATCTGCTGCAAAGCGGTGGCATGTGAGAAAGTGGTCCAAGGTGGCCGGTCTCTCCACTCTTTTTTCTTTCGCTGTTTTGATGCTTTTTCCCTCTCTCTCTCTCTCGATTGCTTTGGGGCCTTTGGGCCTATGCGAAACCATCCTGCAACGCTTGCTGTCAGGTGAAGCGCCAGCATTTGTTCTGCATTCTCGCTTCTTTCCTGGGTGCCTTTTTTCCAAGCGCTGCCAATTTCTACTCGTCCAAGCAGATCCAAGTCGTGCATGGATTCGGAGCGCTTCGCGGCTGCACTTGGTGAGCAGAGCAGCTGTCGTGGTTTCAGTGGCGCTGAGTAGATGTTGGCAGTCACGTTTCTTACATGCCTCTCTTCCAAGGGCGGGCTTCGCAAAGTTGGCCTTGCTCGGTGGCCTCCTGTCCCTCTCAGCCTTCATCATTGCAGGCCACTTGGCATGCTCAACAGCACAGCCTGCCAAGATGACAAGGGGGGCGGGGATGGACAGAAGAGTATGGTAGTTTAAGAAGTAGATAGAGCTGCATCTGTATATGCACAATGTGTGTCATGTATGTCATGTGTGTCATGCATGCCACGTATGTCACGTATGTATGTACGTACTTACGTATGTATGTGTGTATATACACATATGTACATGCATGCATATACATGCGCTGGCACCAAACCCATGAGAGGGGTATTTATGGACCAAGGAATGTTGCGATGTTGGATGTTGCACTACACCCCGGGGCTCATTGGAATTTTCAAGGGCTCGAGGCCCAATTTTCGACTTCAAAGAATTAAGCTACTGAGCCGCCGAAACTTGCCCTGGATAAGGCGAAGTTCGATGTCATGAATGTTTTTCAGATGGGTTTACTGGGAAATTTGAAGTTTCACGTGCACCCCTGAATTCTGTACATTGGAAGCGCCTGAATTTGGAGCTTAGCGGTTTTTTATAGTCTCGACAGCCAGGCAGTATTCAAGCAGAAGCTTGAGCATCTACGGGGTTACCTTCGTGTTTCCAGAATGCACATGAAAGGTAAAGCCTATTTTTAACTTCTTACATTCTTGAGTGTCGCAAATCAGCTTGTTTGTGATTGATGTTGAGGGTGAGAGCCCAGCCTCTTCACTCAGTGGTTTCGTTTGAGGGTTTCAGCAAGGCCGCCAAAACCAAACACCGAAACCAACACAACATCAGCATGGGCAACGCGATCATCAGCACGACCAAAAGCACCAACCGCAAAAACGATAGTAAGTCTTGCTTGGGACAAACCATGGCACCAAGACCCTTTATCCGAGTCTAGTCTCCTTTTCAACTTAGATCCTGTATCAACTCTGAGGACCATACTACCCTTACTGAATCTCATCAAGGCCTAGTAGTTTGTTGTGGGGACCAACAAACGACATGCCTTTAATATCCAAACAGGATTGAAGAATGCTGAACCCTTCGCGTGTCTGACGTTCGAAATGGAAACGTTTTGTTATTGAGACGTGTTGATGCATGAGGCTACCTCGGAGATCGCTATGGCAGGAAGTTGCTGGGTGTTGTAGGCATCTCGCTGAAAGCTGTGGTGGCATGGCTCTTAGCATTTGTCAAGAAATCCAGGCGTGACCATGAGTCTGAGTTCATTCTTTTCCCTGTGATCTGATGAGATTTTATGCTGCGAAGACCATGCAAGTTGCATCTCCGCGCCCGGATGTTATTCGGGCGCCCTTTGCATTTCTTGGGACACTGGCCTTCTGCTGAGGACTTCCTCTTCTATAGTATCAGCCCCGGGAGCACGTACTCCGTGGGAAGCTGAGTGTGCGCAGGGTCTCATGCAGGGATTCTGACAGTTACTCGTCGTAAGGAGCTGGTGACTAATGGTGGAGGCGGGTCATGCCCAACAGGTCATCTTCATCATCATTATCTTCTGCATACGGACCGCGCTGGGCATGGCCTTGGACACGACCTTCCAGGCCGATGCACTAGATCACAGGCAGATGCACAAGATGGTTCAGATCCGAGTCTTCATCCGTCTGTGCCAGGCGATGGGGGGTGAGGTCTTTCCAACCTCGGGCAGAACCTCCGCTCAGGCACAAAAGTCCAAAATCCAACCTCGAAGCTGCAAGGAGTCGATTCGCTCTGGCACAGAAGGTGGCAAGCACCGGAAGCATCCCATGCAGAGACGTTTGAAATTGTGTGTAGCATAGGGCTTGGGCGGGTGATGAGCTGGTTAGCTGCCACGACCCTGACTGCAAGCAGTAGCCAGTTGAATCTCATTTGCATGCCGCGGAGCAGATCAAGTCGGGCCCAGTCAACTGTTGAGAATGTCTGGAATTCTTGTTGCTTTTTCAGTCAGTTGCCTTGGTATGCCTTGGTAAAGCGGCTGGATAGGTGCTGATGTCTGAGCTCTGGCCACGGATACCAGAAAACCCCCTGTGTGGGAACCTCTCACGCCCACATCGGGCTGACTGGGATGAAACATGTTCCTTGGGTAGGCAGCCAAACGCGCGCTGAAACGCGACACTAAACACCTCGTTTTGCTGTCAACGGCTGTCAGGCGATTGCGAATGGGATCCTGAAAGTGGGAAAGCAAGCTGTCAAGCTTTCTTGTGGCTTCTGCCCGGTGACATGCAGATCACCGGGAGCATCCAAACAATCGCAGCGTTGCTACTTCCCCTGCAGACGTCAACGCTGTTTGCTGATGTCCTCTCTAAAATTCACCAGACGGCTTTCAGATTTTTTGAGCCAGGCTGACCGTAGGCCCCCTCCCGTCGCGGCAGCGAAGTGTTGAGATTGTTGAGGAGTTTAAGTTTTGGCACTTTGCAGGGCCTCCTGGTTCTGATCGGCGGTCTTGGTGGTCCATTGGGCTGCTCGGCCGCGCTGCGTGAACACTGACTCACTGCTGACTCACTGAACTGTCACTTGAATGTCGCGCTCAAGCCAGATTTCGCGGAACGGCCCAGGCCTCTTGACAGCCACGCGGCTTGGGGATTTCCTCGGCGCAGAGCAGGCCACCAGGCGCGCTATCCTCTGGGTGGCTTTTTCACATGCATTCGCACATACGCAAGGTCACCCGAGGCAAATTGACTTGAAAGAAGACGTGTCGCGAACGAATTCGCCCTTCAGAGCCCTTGGTGTTGCGAGGCTTATGGCATGCGGACAGCTCCTTACAGCCTTGATTGTGGCGACCGGATTCCCGGAGACTCACGGCAGAGAGCTCGAAGAAATCAATAGTTGAAACCCAAGTTTGCCTTCAAGACAAAAGCCTGTGCGCACCCAAATTGACAAGTTATCCAACACACCTCAAGCCTTCACAGCCCGGTTCAGCCGACAGCGGTAGCCAGTTTGGTCCTTGTACATAGACGTGGATGCAGCTTTCCTGCACGATTCTCTCTTACGGAGAGCTGCCAAGACCTGCAAAGTGACAGTCTTACCACGCTGACCGATGCCATCCGGATAAGAGCATGTGACCACGGACTGGTTAGATGATGTTAGATGGTCCGACAGTGTTAGTGCAGGCGGCTCGCATTTCTTCCAGGTTAGACCAGGCGAGCTCAGCGGGTTGTGACGTGTTGAGCATGCTGTTGGCACTTGCTGGCAGTTGGCTCGAAGATTTCTGGAGTTTAGGAAGTTTAGGTGCGTGGCATAGTCATGGCTTGCAAATGCGCGTGGCGCCCTGGTATTGCGGCCAGCTGTGGGGTGCAGGTGCTCGTGCATTCCTCAAGAAGTAGCCGGACGTACGGGCAGAGAGGTGCGGCGTGCACCACAGCGTCATTGTGTCAGAGTGCTCTAGGCATCATGTCACTGCTGTGCCCGCGCGTGCTGAAGCCTCATCTCGCACGTCGGTGGCGGCGTGGTGCTGCTCAGCAGCGAGGCAACGTCCAAGCCCGTGCCGCACGGATGTCCTTTGAATGTGTCGCTGGAGACCTGGCGATAAGCATGATGATTCCCACCTTCGAAGCATTTCTGCTGTCCGGTAGCGGGATCTACACGCCGCTGTGGCTGATATTCGGCAGCGCCACTGGGCCAAATTTCGCCAGCCCGGAGGTGAAGCATGGAGTTGTGCTTGCCGCTTGTTGGCTCAGCAGTGCTTCCTATGCACGGGCATATGAGGGAGAGGCGTTAGATGGCGAGGATCCATCCGAGTTGCTTTGGCGCCTATTCACGACGAATTTTCTGAATGCTTGGCTGATATTTTTTGCAGTGTCATTCCTAGGCCTCTTCGAACCGTTCAGTGAGGCAGATTGTCTGCACCTGGGCATACCTGCAGACACTTGGGGTTCTGCTGGTTTCAGCCTGGATGCCAAAGTCATCAGGCAAGTGGTGGATGTCAACATTGACATTTTAGTTGAAGCGCTGCTTCTGAACACATGGCATGTTTACTATGCCGGGTCAGATTTCTACAAGCTCTGGAGTCTGTTGATGCGCCGATTCGGCATGTGAGCGTCTGCAAAAAGGGCGGGGGAGGTCCTCACTTTTGCGACGACGTCCTCTGACGCAGGCTGACTCCGAACCTGCTGTGATACGATTTGAGCCAGTTCCCTCGGCGTTTTCCCTCTTCACTCGGGTACTGATCTGAGCATAGTTATCAAGCAACCGTCGAGCTTCGACGAAGGCTCTTTTCAGCTTCTACCAGGATGGGCTGCCAAGTTCCATGGTGCCTCAACTATGGGTTCCTCTCTTGGTGCATTGCGCTTAGGCCTTGGGGTAGAAGTGGCATGCTTATCGCCCGTGAGATACGAGGACGTCGATGAAGGAACGAATCTGGGCGAAAAGGGTATCTTCAAAGATATATAGTTCTTTTCTCCGAACTAGGGTCTTGTGGAAGCCTCTATGATCCAAACACGCCAGGAACCAGAAAACGAACCTCGTGACGGGTGGAGTTAGCCTATAGAACTCCCAAGATCTTTGAACGACGCAGCCCACAAACCTTGAGCTGCAGACATGGGCATGAAGCGAAATCTGCTCCCAACTCTCGGACTCAGGAGTTGGGCGCTCTGGCAAGAACTCGGGCATCAGGCGCCTCCGTCTAAACAAGTGCCTTGCCCAGCCTGCAGGGAGAAACAGGGCCCGAGCTGCCTGGCTGATGCATGTTGTGTGAACTTGGCTTTGGTCCAAAACATGTTGGCAGCGACAGCACGCGGCGTGCGTTCTCATAGCCTGCCCGCCGATTTGCCGCCAATCGTTGAAGTCCTCCTCCACTTCCATGGAAAAAGTTGTCAGCCCAAAGCACTGCGGTTTCCACTCTCGGTGCTGGTGCACACAAGGCCAGTGCCTACGTACCTCAGCCAACCCTTCAACCCTGAACTGAAGCCTCGGGCTGTCAGATCTTTCACACCTCCTCGCAAAGAGTCTCTCCGACCGGCCCATGGCACCTGCTGTGCGGCGTGGCGCTGCAAGGCGCAACTGCCATGGGATGGGTCGAGGATGAGGCTTTCTGAGTGTGCGCTGCTTGGGGTTGTGCATCATGGACTTGTGGCCGCCTTTGAAGAGGCTGCTGTGGCAATCGGTGAGAAGAATAGCAGTGCCCGGCAGGCAGGAACCCACAAGGCGAGTAATTCATTCGGTTCAGAGAGTGTTCGCTTCCCCTGCTCCGACTTGAACTGCTTGAACTGCTGAGCTTTGTCCGCTGCCGGCCACTGCCACTGAAGAAATTGTCAGCCAGGCGGGCCTTGCCCGTGGCGGCTGGCTCTGACGAGCGCTCCGACTGGCTTTGGGCCGCGCGGGCATTAGGCCGAATCAAGCACGTGAGGGCATGGGTGGCTGAAAGGTCATGGTTTGGTTGTATGTAGTGGTAGGTGAAGTGCGTAGCAAAACACTGCTTTGGGGTTTCGATTGGCACGACGGGAACACGATGAATCGCTTCGGATGCGGTACTCTGAACCCCGCTGTAGGTGGAGCTGCAGCGGCATTGGTCGCTGGTGGAGCTGTTAGCCGCTCGTACTGCGATGGTGGCCACGGCACGGCGCATCGCCGGGGCCTGAAGACAAGCCTCTGCTCAGGCCGTAGTGTACTTCTTAATCCTGCTTGGATCTTCCATCAGCCGCGATGCCCTGGCAACTGTAACCCGAATACCATGTTCCTCATGATCAGTGGTATCCCTCAGCGAGCTGATCTTCACTTCAAGACGAAGCTGAAAGAACTCAGACAGGCCCTCAGCAAGAACGCACCAAAACTTGAACAACACCGGACAGCAGGACAGCAGTGATGATCAGTGAACACCCGCAGATTTCGGGTTGCATGGTGTTGCAGGCGAGTTTTTTGTGCAAGAAACTCTTGTTGCGTACTCTTCCTCAAAATAGGTGAGTGTGAGTCCATAGTTACAATTCTCGCCGGTCATCGGGTGGCGGGGATCATGCTGATCCTAAGATCCCGCCGATGATGCAACTGATTCGTTCAGATTCCATGGGGACAACTCCCTAAGCGGGATTGAAAAACCGTTGTGTACCCGTAGCCAAGGTCTGTACCCCAAGGACCTCGAGCAATTTCTGAAGCCCTCGGAGTTCAACCCAATTCCGGCACCTTGGCAGTGCCAAAACCCACCAGGACTTTGGCCAGTGGATGTCTTCTCTTTTGTCGGACGTTGCGAGTCGAAAGTCTGGTTGATCGAAGAAAGGCATTTTGCCGTCGGCTTTCCTGAATTTACAGTGCCCCCCACTGTGGCAGGTGACCATGCCACCGCCGTTCCCAGGACTTGCCAGGCCATCGGAAGAGAGCTGATCTTGCAACGTACAACCCTGAACCTTGGTTCTCACAAAGCAAGTCGCGAACTGGAGGGGGGGGGGGGGGGGGGGGGGGGGGCGGGGGCGACGCTAAGCAAGATCAAGATCAATCTGGCAAGGTCCTCCAAGTTCTCAAGTTACGTGCCCCGCAGCCATTCTGGTGCAAAGCAGCTGGAGGTGTAGACTCACTCCTCCCATCAGCTCTCAATCGCAGTTCAAGGCTGGTTCTTTTGAGTTCTTTGCACACGAAAGAAGCACAAATAGTAATAGCGGTGTCCGGCAACCCTGTGATCCGGGTTGTTGAGTCGCCAATCCGAGATTACAAGCAAGTTCCGGCTGGGGTCTTTGAAAGTTCGAATGCTACTCGTACCACGGAGCCTGGACGAAGCCTCCTTCCCTCTGTGCCTGCCGACAGCTCCAGAGGCATTTGCTTGCCGTGGTCTTCAAGAAATTCTGTCAGGCCAGAGAGATGCAAGTTGCACTCCGGGACAGACATTTGAACAAGCGTTCCTAATGGCTGTCTCCCAAAAGGCTGCGTCAACAAGATCGTTTCTTGCGAGCCACCCCCGTTTTTGCATAGCTCTCCTCTAAATCGCCTTGGCCTTCAAGAACGGAACACGGGGCAACTGCAACAAAGACTGGAGGTGGGTCCTGGTTCCCAAGACGTGCATGTACATACACAAGCATGGTGCAGGCTGAACAGCCTGTCATTCCATTCTCGTCGAGTCGATTCCGTATCCTTATCATGAAGGCACGGCAAGTCAGATCATGCCTCATTTTCGTCACAGTCTCAGCCATTCTTGGCATAGGCACTCACAGAGGCGCGTGCACTATCTTTTGCCGAATTGTCTGATGCAAAAATGCCAGGTAACTGTGGACATCCATTTTGCCACAGACACCAAGGCGACCTTGTCTGAAAGCTGGCAGTGTCGTCACGGGACGTCCCATCGCTGCTTCTTAAAGCGGCATCGCTGACCAGACGTGCTCAGACCTAGCTTGCATGAGGTCAAAGGGACCAGCAGACTCTCGGAATGAAACTGGACCATGGCTCGTTCAAAAGTTGGCAGTGGGTGCACTTGAAAGTGCCGCGGCGCACAGATGCCTGCAGCAACGAGGCAACAAGCTGTCCTTGGTCGTGAAGCCTTCCGACACAGTGCAGCGCCTGAAGCAGCGTGTGACCCTTGTGGAGCCTGTCCCCTTCCCGGAACAGGAGGGCCACTGCATCTCTTCCGAGATTCGATGTATCTCTGCCTGACCACCAGAATCCGGGAGGGTTTCTCTCCGTCTGCTGCAGGACTTGCAGCTCGATGGGGCCAGCCTCAAGGATGACCAGAGGCAGGGCTGCCGGGTTACCTTTGGCCGCGCTTCTCTCCGCTTCTCTCCCCCACTTCTCTTTTTGTTGCTGTGCGTCCTGACTGAAGATGCAGGCTTGGCGATCTCAATTTGCTCGAGGGTCAGGCGGGACACAGATCGAAGGCACTTAGGCATCTTAGGCGCCGTCCGGGACCTCAAAAGAATTGATTTATCGACGAACAAAAACCCTCCCCTCTCTTGTATTGTACGTTAATGCCTCGATTGTAGATTTTTCTTGAGTAGCTCGAGTAGTCGAAAATCCTTGCAAAGGAGCCCCGCCTCGCCAGCTCCGTTTCCCTTGAGTCCCTTTCGTTGCCCGGCCCCGCCGCAATTTGTCGGAAGTTGGGCCGTCGCCGGCACGCCCATGGCCAAGTGCCAGCAAAACGCCACGTGTGCACTAACCGCGTTGGCCCAGCATAGCTTGACGCTTCAATGCGGGACCTTCAGTGCTAAGCAGACAAGTCTTGAGTTGCATGTCGCATGCACAACCTCACTGGATTCACTATGACCCACAAATGAGGATTCAACTCGTGTGCCGCTTTGCTGACAGGCGCTGAGCCTCAGAGTCCAAGCCAGTGAGACGACGTTCACTGATCAGTTGGCGCAGCTCCTCAAGGCACCAAATGGTGTTTCTGTGGTATGTCTTTAGAGAAGAGAGAACGGTGCAGATAAAGTAGCTGGCCCTCGAGTGCCACCCAACTCACGAAGGACGTCGCCGTTTACTAAGTAGGGTGGGTTCGCAGCAGCTTCGAAGCTACAGAGGCTCGTCCGCTCTCTTCTGCAGAGTTGGGCTTGCTCTACACCCACAAATTTGGAGCGCACCTTGGTGCGAAAAACTGCGTTTGCATTTGTGGGGCTGGGGGGGCTCAGCCTGACATGGGCCTTGCTGAACCATGCGTCGTCTCAGGACGGTGAAGACTGCGCTGAACATCCTGGGCTGCCCTGAGCCGTTGAGTGACTTTCTCCTGAGGCACAAGGGCCGCAGAATGCACAGCTGTTGAGTGGGCATCAACAAATACCCCTTTCAGGAGGCAGGACGCAGAAGAAAGAGAGAGAGAGCCTGGCCGCCAAGCCCAGCAGCAGAAGAAGAAGAAGAAGAAGAAGAAGAAGAAGAAGAAGAAGAAGAAGAAGAAGAAGAAGAAGAAGAAGAAGAAGAAGAAGAAGAAGAAGAGGAAGAAGAAGAAGAAGAAGAAGAGAAGAAGAAGAAGAAGAAGAAGAAGAAGAAGAAGAAGAAGAAGAAGAAGAAGAAGAAGAAGAAGAAGAAGAAGAAGAAGAAAGAAGAAGAAGAAGAAGACGAAGAAGAAGAAGAAGAAGAATAAGAATAATAAGAAGAAGCAGAAGAAGCAGAAGAAGAAGAAGAAGAAGAAGGAAGAAGAGGAGGAGGAGAAGAAGAGAGAAAGAGGGGCGCGCAAACTACGCCAGAAGGGCACGCACCAGGCCCCGTGAAAGAAAGAAAAACTGAGGGCTGCGGCCTCCAAGCCCAGACAAGAAAGAAAAGGATTCCGAGAAAGAAATCGCAGAAACAAAGAGCAAAAGAAATGAACAAAGAAAGAAAATCACTACAAAACAGCAGAAGCAATAAGAGACGAACTTCTTTATGCGACTTGACTCATGCCCGCGGGGAGCCCCACAGAGGCATTCCTAGTGCCAATGTCACCTACGACCAAATGCTGCACAAGAAATTGGTGGCTGGTCTCAGCCAAGCCAATATGAGCAGTGAGGTTTCTTAAGCCATTTTGTTTGCCATGTGTGGGAGGGTGTCGCATTGCCGGCGGCCAATGCTCCTAAGCCCTAAGCCACGCACAGCTGACTGGGCGCAAACGGGGTCGTGCCTCCAAGCATGTCCAAGTCCAAGCCTGCTGTGAGAGGTCGAGAGAGACATTCTAGAAGTTATAGATGGGTTCTTGCATCATCACACACACATGCATGGACACCGACATGCAGAGGTACATGATGGGTACATGAACCTGCTGTGCATGTAGAGGTTTTGCAAAAAATTGCAAGATGCTCACACCAGGATTCGGGATGCCTTTGGGGAATCCTTGAAAGATGGGAAATTGAATCCGGTTTCGGTGCAAGAGATAGGACCCTAGCAATGCGTTTTTGTTTTTCCCGTATTTTGGGGCTCTTTGTCTCTTTGTTTAGTTTCATTCCTGGCAATTGTACCGGCCAGGAAGAAGCGCTTCGCGATCGATCGCTCTGGTGTCATGGTAGCAAGTCTTGCGGAAGCAGAACTTCCCAGAGCGCCACCAGGGTGCCACTGCTGCTACTTCAGCTTGCTCTGCCGCTTGTTGCTTGCTCATGCTCAAGTCTCAAGTGTCAAGAACTATCATCACCGCCCTCACGTGATGATGACTCAGGTGTCGTTTCTCTGTCAGCCCCTTGCCTGAATCTGGAACATGGGCAATACCCAGTAGTAGTGTGCACTTCATATGGACAGCGAGGTCCAGGCTCCGTAATTTACAGGACATTCGCAGCATCTGCCCCGACGACGCCATAAAGACGTACTCAGAGTGTGGATTTTGGAGAAACATGGTACAGGGGCTTGAGGTGAATTGCATGAGAACAATGAGAGTAATTAGCGTGCAGGATCATGCAAGAGTGCCTGATGCTCTAAGACACTTCATCCAAGGAGTGCCAGGAGCCTGTAGTGCAGCCCCAGCCGGCACCGACGGAGGCTGGGTGAGATGCTGCAGGATCTGGGAGTGGAGAGCTGCAAAGCCCCATATGCGAAAGGCCGTGCCCGAAAAGATTGACATCAAAGGCATCGTGGCTGTTACCAGCACGCTGGGCAACGTTACTTGCCGAAGGAAAGGAAGACAGAGGGGGATAAGAAGCGGAAGCAGAAAGCAGCAAAAACACGCAGCGAGTCAGCTCTGCGGTGCGACTCAGTTGTGGGTCATGCTGCTAGGCGGAAGGAAGAAGAGGTGCAAGGGAGGCAGGGAGGAGGTGAACGGGAGAGGGAGGGACAGGGAGAGGGGTCCCTTCCCCAGGCTTAGCAGAAGCAGACCCTAACAAAACCTTACGCCTTAGCATGCCTCATGATAGGAAGGAAGAGTGTTGCTGGAACATCGGCCTGCGCACCAGCAGGCCTACAGGCAGCCCAGGCCCATCCAGCCCCCTAGAAAGACTGGGAAAGAGACGGCTCAGCCCCTTGAAAGCGCTTCCTGATCGAGGCAGATTACCGACAGAGCTGTCTGACATGAGCGGCAACGTGTTGCTTGCAGAAGATTAGATGCAATGCAAGAGAGGCGCGGTCATGTCTGAGGTTGTCGAAATGCAGCACGAGTTTCATGCGGAGCCTACACACACAGTGCCAAGCCCAGAGCACACCAGTGACATGAAAGGCGGGATGTTCATGCCAGAGCAAAGAATGACGATGAAGTACGACGAAAACCCGGGCCTTTGAAGGGCTCTTGTGTTTGTCTGTTCCTGACCTTCCCATCCTTTGAGACGATTTATGATCGACGCCCTTGTGAAGTATCCGAGTGTGCTAGCCAAACCAAGCAAGGCTGATGCGAGGCGAGGGTGGGCATTCTTGTGTTTGAGCTGATCCCAACACGTGACCCAAGAGAGCTGCCCTGTGTGGCAACGTGGAATACGTGGAACAACTCTCAGGTGCAGAG